TTTGATGAGGACAATTTCCTGTTGGACAATACAAACAAGATAATTGTGTCAAAGTTTGAAGACGCGACTAGTGGAAAGCCAATCAGAGAGGTCATCGCCTTGAAACCGAAACTTTATTTGGTCGTCTTTAAGGTGGAGTAAGAGTCCCAACTTAAGCCACCTCCTACCGCCGTTCCTCCTTTTTTACAGAAAAAACTACCACCACCACCACAACTAGCAACCTGATATTTGACAATTTTTAAGATATCTTGAATTGTTCTGTTTTTTTTTCCGCATTAAATTTCACAAAATTCACTAACTTGTTTTAATTTTACTTATTCCATTAGTTTAATTTTTGCAAACAATCAAAAACAAACTTGAAAATCCGAATTTTTACCCAAATTGTTTTTTGTTTTTTTTTTATTGAAAAAATATTATTTTCCATTATTAAAATTAAAATCCTTGTTTGAGATAGATAAAAACGCAAAAAAACGACGTTTTTGACTAATTATTTTGTTTATTGAATGATACCTAAAAAAATAATCAAAATTTACATAAATGATTGGTAATCAGTTTGCATTTAAAAGATTTTTTTGAAAAATTTTTATTTGATAAAAGCAAACATTCTAGCCCTTAATCTACACAACAGTAGAAGATGGTTTGAGAAGAATCATTATTCAATTAGAAAATATAAAACTATAATAAAGAGCCAAAATTATTGTACTCTGCAGTTCTCAATGAACATAATTTCTTCCAAGTGGTTTCAAAGTTTAGTTGATATAAGCTTTTGATTTTTGTAGTTCAATTACAGTGAACAGCTAAATTCGAAAGTAGGCTGATCAACGGGCATTGGTTGTGACGCAAAATGGACTTCTGTAGCAAGTTGCTTTGCCATACTCTTTGCACTTGGCAAACTCCTGATTATAATTGACTCTTTGCCAGAAAAAAATTTCCAGGGCAGATGCATGTCCAAAATTTTCAGAATTGCAGAAACATTATTTCTAAATACCGAAATTTTTTTTCGTTTTTTTTTCGATTGAAATGCTGTTGCTTTTCGACGTATCCAGATACCTTTTTCACGAACAGTTAGAAGTATGGTTTAAAAAGATTTGCACCAAAAAGAACTTTCGGGACTAAAAAATTATTTCATCATTTGTTGAATATATTCGTTGAAAACTATCTCAATATTGAATATCAAATTGATTAGGTTAAAAGAAAAATTATTTGAGATGAATTAAAACTTTTGAGATGAATTAAAAAAATAAAATAACATAATGGAAATTGCGTAGGCGTAGGTTTTGTTTCTTTTATATAATCATAACTGTAAGAAAAAATTATTATTCATATTGACAAGCACTACGCGTCAAGCAATTTTGTTTTTTTAGATGATTTTGGTGAAAAACCTTATTGAAATGTATCATCCATTTAGTTTTGATAGGTATATTTCTTCTCAGCCAATTTGCGCATAAATTATATACATGTAAGACAAATATCAAAAAAAGCTGCTTGCTTGATGCCTTAAGCATACATTCAATGTTACCAAAATGTGCTAAATTTATTAAATTCAAATAAGAAAACTTTTTCATCACATAGAACAATACTTTAAAAAGAGAGCAGGTCAAATTTTTCTTCTTTTGAGCTCTCTGCTAGTTTCCTCTTCATCTGTTACGCCATATGTTTTTTTTTTTCCAATAGGGATGTTTTATCCTGATTATTTGAAATTTTCTCTTTCGCATAACTTCTATCACAAATTCCACTGTTTTTGCCAATTATGTAACGGAATTCCTAATCGTTTCTTACAAGGCCTAAGAGCAATGTAGGATAGACAAAATCAACCAGTTCAATAAAAAAAGTCATTGATATTAATGTCTCTTTATATGCAATTGAAAGATCTTGTCGTTTTTCAAATCCACCTTTTCAGCAAACTTTTACTCAATTGATTTGAACAAAAGTCGTATTCTGTCTTCTGGGTGGTCTTAGAGATAGCTGCGTTTTTTCAAAGTACTCTAAATCTCATCACCTTCTGACCGTTTTCAAAAAATGTTATTATATTGCTCATAGAACCTGATTTTTTCTAACATTGAGAGTTTTGACAGAATCAGTACAAATCTGAAATTAAAGACTGGGAGATGTTGAAGTATTTCCGCTTCAGTGTTCCATTATATGCTTGGCCAGCTTCACAAGTTAATCTTATTTAGCCCACCTGTTCAACGTCAATCGTTGTTTTAGAGAACTGTAAGCAAACACAAAAAACCTAAACTATACCTGTCCGTAAAAACAGAGTTTTGCTTTTGTAACAAAAATCAAAAAGTGCATATTTTTCAAAAGTAAAATCACAATTTTTTTTCTGCTGAGATGATAAATGCAATTGAAAGAAAAACACCCCTACCCTTATGCATACTTCAACTGAAAAGTTCTGAAAATGTCGACTTCCCCGCTAGCAATGTGGAAAAATTGTCAGACAGGAGGTGGTATGAGTATTACCAGAATAGAGTACTATCATGCACTAAAGGTTTTCACCGAGCTTGTACGTGACCACTGATGTGCTATTACTTCCTTCCGTTTTTGCAATTTTCGTGAAGTTTGCCATCAAAAAAAGCTTATAAGCCGGACCTGAAACTCTTAACGGATCTTAAACAACTGGAGCTTGTGCAGCGAATGATACGATGAGGCATGTCGTCGGTTTACGCCCGTCAATTTTACAAAGCAAAATGAATACCTCGACCATGTTCGCCCTCATAACCATCAAGCTACTTCCTCAGTATTCACGCAAACAATTTGTACGGGGGGATAATGAAACATTAACTTGGCCCTTAAAAGATTCTTCAATAGTTGAAAAAAGATTAGAAGACATACTGGTCACCAGCAAAACCTCCGAGTGGGTTTATATAATTGAAGTCAATTTGACCATACCCGAGGAGCGTTATGATTTCTTCGCTGATTACCTTCTTGCACCCTCTCGTGAAGTAGTGGACATCGGTGCAACGAGCAAGTTGAAATGTTGGGGAAAATGGGATTCACCACAAGGCCAAAGGTTCCAAGGCTTCTGCAGACCTTGCACCCTAAAGAGAATTATTTGTTGCATTACCTTACCCTAAAAATGTACCACGAGCTGGAAATGAAATTAACTCACCTCGAAAGAAACAGTTCCTCAGTTCCGCCAGTGTCACTTGATGGCACCCTTTGTCGACGTCAACACCCGCCTAAAAAACGCGATAAATAAATTTGAAGAGTACTTTTGCATTCTGATTATTAATTCAGCATTCGGTAAGACAATGGACTCTAAGTTAGAAAGAGAGAAGCTGGCGATTCTAAAGAATAAGAGAGAGAAATTTTCCTCAAAAAACAGCTCTGAGCGCAATGAAGAGCTTCCAAATCATTGACGATCAGTTAGCCAATATCCATTTTTCAGTTTAAAAAATATTATGATAGTTTATGCGATTATCTTAGACATCGCAAAGCGTTTCATGTTTCAAATTAAATATCGAAAAAAGAAACCGACTCTAACTTAAGAACAACTATACTCCGACAGGATAGTTGTATTTATGCCATAAAAACTGACGACGTTTACCGAGACTTAAAGAAACTAAAAGCGGACTTCGACTTCTCAAACTTTGATGAGGACAATTTCCTGTTGGACAATACAAACAAGATAATTGTGTCAAAGTTTGAAGACGCGACTGGTGGGAAGCCGATCAGAGAGGTCATCGCCTTGAAACCGAAACTTTATTTGATCGTCTTTAAGGTTGAGTAAAAGACCCAACTTAAGCCACCTCCTACCGCCATTCCTCCTTTATTACAGAAAAAACTACCACCACCACAACTAGCAACCTACATCCCACTCCCTTTAACAGTAAACTATGGGCATAAAGCTGATTTGGGCAACATTATACAATGTTGCCTAAGCGTTGATTTATCTGAAAATTTAATTTTTTCAATCCTTTTTATTCATAAATTAGTCTTCTGCTCTTTGGTAAAATGAATAAAATTTTATTTGGTTTAAATTGAAATTCTAAAAGGAAAGATAAAACCCCCTACCCACTAGAAAAGAAATAAACTTTTTGCTACTGTTTAGAAGGCAGTCAAAAGCTGAGTGCCAAAGGGATAAAGTAGACTGTGCAATGAGAATCGGTGCAACAAAGCTTTAGGAACACATTATTACTGGAAAAAAAAACAAAAGTGTACAACTATGATACAGTGGCGAATGGAGAAAATAGTAAGACTGAATCAAAACAAACTTGCTTTGTCACCGTTCGATTCGAAACGCTTTCACATTTTGACGGAATTTCGACCATTCTCTTTGGCCATACGGCCGCCAAAGAAAAGGTAATTCTAGAAGGCGTTTACATGGACACTGAGTAGACCAACTCATACAGTAAAGCTGATAACAGTTCGTCCGAATTTAAATTACCGGACTGGGGATTTTTACAGCGGCCCTACTCAGAAACAGAGCTGCGAGAAGAAGAAGCTTCTAGTAGTTAATTCCGTGAACGTCTTCCTATCAATTACTGATTTATTTTATCGGAAGCTTCGGAAAAAAGGTCATCTAAAACAGCACGAAGAAAACCAAAACAACAAACATCGATTTTTGAAACTTTTATATTGAGATGATTTCAACTGTTTTTCCTTTTCATACTTCGGGTTAAATTTGGTTTTGTTTTTCCCAGTTCTATTACGACTGAAAGGGCTTTATTATGATAAATCACTCAACCCTGACTGATGAGTATTTATGGTAGCTGATTTTGCGAGGAAAATAAAAAGAAGAAAAAACTAAAACACAGGATAACCGATTACTGTTCAATGGTCGGAACAAAAACTGTTTTCAACGCCATACGGACGGCGGCAGGTTTGATCTCTGCGTCAGTTTGGTTAATACTTGTGCTCAGAAAAAGTCACGCGATCAAATGCCTCGCTTAACTTTTTTTCTGCCATTTCTGCATGAATGTTAGCTTTCCACAAAACTTGTTTTCTTTCAGAGTAAAAACTTCTTGATTTCTCAAAAACTTTTTTCACTACAATTTTTGACTTCAAGCGACACATTACACTAACAATTTATTGCTGATCTATTAGAGGTTTTCTTACTAAAACAAATATATTTGTAAAAAAAGGTAACTAAAAATATTAACACGAAGCTGGTAGCAAAATCTCAGACTACAAAAATAGTAGTTACTATTGCCACAAGAGTCGTGACCGATTTTAATCTACAGAAAAGTTTCGTTTTGAAAGTTCACCAGGGGCGGCTCTATGTATCTGTTCACCCTCTGCCCTCTTATGTTTTCGACCTGATCTTGGCCTATTGTGTCATCATCAGCATGAGCATGAGGATGCGGACCGAGCTGAACCATCAAAAGCGCGTTGAGTCCGACTACTGCGCCATGTGAGTCAGTAACACTAACGTTGTCTGCTGCCTTCTCCAGTTTTTGTTTCTCGCAGCAGTAGCAGCAGCAGCACCAGATTGATATAACTAAAATCAAATAACACTACTCTAGTTTCATATTCAATTTCTCCTATTCTCAGCTTTTCAGCGGGCTCCATTTTTTGCAGCATGTTTTCAGCAGATGATATATTTATGTAATTATGTACTTACTTGTAAGAATGAGAATTAGACCGGCCACAAGAGTTATGCCAATATAATTCCACGGAGTCCACTCAATAAGTTGTGTTAACTTTGTCCTTGCCCTATTTCTTCCGGGGCGATTGTTTGGTTCTTCAGTGACATTGTACTCACTCTTGTGAGGACAGTTCAATTTCTCTCTCACTTCATGGGCACTCATAGGTTTCAAGGTTTTCCTGCCCTCTGTTATTGTCCTGAAATCTTTGAGATTTGTGGCGCCCATTTGGCTGGGTGACTTTGATGTATCGGGGGGCAGCATGTATCCGATGGCGCTGATGAAGCAGTCCTCTGAAAAAAAATAACTTACTCAATTTTTGATTTCTCTGTCAATAATAAGAGACCAAATAACCTTAAGGCAAAGAACCAATATACAAGAAAAGTAGAGCTCTTAACTGATAAACCTCTCAGTCAGTGGCGTTTGCAGAATTTTTTCTGGGGGAGGCGGTTTTTCAAAAAAAAATTGAAAATTTTATTTGACCTTTTTTGTTTAGATTGACCAGTTTGATTTGATTTTCCGAGCTCTCCCAAATCACTATAAAGACCAATTTTTTACCAAATTTCTGCGCCCCAGGCAAACTTTCCAAAACGGTCAAAAAAGGCGTTTTTAGGCTTTTTTGGAAAAATTTGACCAAAAAATCGCGTTTTTTCGGCGCTTGTTCGCTCCTTCAAAACTAGTTTTATTGGCTCCACAGGCCCTTTAGAAATCTTTTGAGGTTGGTCAGCCAAAAATGGATGTCGTAAAATTATATGTCAATGAATTTGGCAACAAGTTTGGCAACCAGAACTGTGGGAAGGGGGACACGCTACTGAATCTCAGTGGTTATTCCCCCCAAAAGTTTAGTTTACGTTCATTTTTGTTAGCTTTTTGGGCTGAATTTTTTTGCGTGCGTCACCTTCAAGCGACACGCCTGCGTTATGGTAGGCAGCAAACAATCGACATTTTGACCAATGCGGATCATTTTGGTTTTTCAGGCAGATTTTAGTTACTCTTGAACGTATATAACTGCTAGCTCTCAATCTCATTTAATAACTTTTTTTTTTCATTTTTATCGTATTAATATCAAACTTAATTTTGTTTCAATCAGCTGATGCTACCCAATAATTTTAAAAATAAATTGTCCGGAAAATTCAATGCTTTTTGCTCTGAAATCGGCTATTCTTGGTGTTTTTAATTTTTAATGGTTTTGATGAAAATGTCAGCTCAAAAACCTTGTCGTAGTAAGAAATGGGCCCTCGACTAAGCTTTTTGTAAGCTAACAGGCTACAGTCTGTAAGATGTACGGCTCAAACTCTCCGAGTCCCCGATGTACAAGAAATGAGAAAAGTTCACAGCTCTGGACCTGGTACCCGGCTTTAAGGGGAAATTTCAAATATAATGTCAAAGCTTACCTGTTTTGCAATGGGCTTCAGGCGGTATTTGGTTGCAGCAGTAAGTATGTAGGATTGGATTTGGTTCGCCAGTGATCCTTCTAGAAATCTCATATCTGCAATTGAGTTCGATCAAATACTCCCAAGCCAGGTACTTGTGGTAGACATATGCCTCGAGATTGTGGGCCAAGAATCTGGTTTCGTCCCTGGAGGACTGCAGAAGGCTAAAAATTATGTTTGTTTCAGTAATTTCAGAGAAAAGAAGTGGCTGAACCATGGTGGCAACGTTTCTATTAATTTCTGTTCGGGTACAAGCAACATACTTTTTTGTGCATTAACAATTCATGAAAAAATCGTACATAGCAAAATAATAATTATATTGACAAAAAAATGTTTACTACGTGCTGTTGTAGCAAATGAATGTCTCCTGGTGCGTGAGCAGGAACTTGGAAGGAGTCAGCAATAACTCCTCCTTGTCATGTAGGGGGGTCAGTTGTTGGAACACCCTCTGACACTGCGCCTCGTTCACGATCTCTATATTAACACAGAATGAATAATGCAAATACCTTTTCCTTTTAGATCTCCTTAGAGTGCTAGATTTTCTAACTAACGTGACTAACGTGCCACTAATTAGAACTTTAGAGTTTTTAGAATCAAGTTTTTCGAATGTTTGCCATTGGAGGTGCTTTTTTCCTGAAAGACTTCAGTTGTATACAAAGAAGTGATGAGACTATTTTCAAAGGTCGATCTCCTCTAAAAAAATGTCATCATAATTTGTTGTAAATTTTGACCTAAAATGATTTTTTATGCAGATAACTTCAGTTTCGTTGTCTGTCGTTTAAATAAACAAACAGCGTGAGAACCATATGGGTGACAAAAAGTCAAATTCATCAATTCAATTAATAGGCGTCTTCACTTACCGATCGCAACCCAATCAAAACCTCGTTTTCACACTGTTTGAAAAAAAAAAACGGTTCAAAATATATATGATCGGCTCTTTTCCAGTTTCCCCCCTTCGAATTTTTCTGAAATTCGTTAAAGGAAAGTCTATATAAAATTACTTTTCATCTTGAAAAAAGCACTAAAACGTGTCAGCATGAACAGGTGAACAAATTTACACAAAATTAAAAACATGCAATATGTCGTGTGAACAATTTTTGATCAGCTTTGGTTTGTTTTTTTTACGAAGGGGTTGGAAAACTGGAAAAGAGCCATATGATCTTTTAAAATGTTAAAAACAAAAATTTTCTTTAAAAATGAAATCGCAGTTGCCAGCCCAAAATCTTAGAAAAAGTTTTAGGTATTAAATAAATAATTGGAACCATTTGCAGTAATCACATGAAAGTAGTAGAAATTTGCTTTTACTAAATGTATCTTCTAACCTTCGCACTTTATGTTGGCAGCACCTGATATGGTATGCTGGCTGATGCCGTCTGCTTCATCCACGACAACACAACGAGGAGGAGACTTGGCGTCGTAATCTTCTCTTCCGCTTTGGTTGCAGCCGCAATGCTCATTCAGCTCTTCTCTAAAATCTATATCTTCTTTCGCGAAGGCAACATTGGTAAGAAGCAAAAGAAGACATGTGACAATGGAATTTTGAGTGTTCATTGGAGCGTTTTGTGGGCACAAAGAGCCTAATGCTCCAGTAAAATTCTGTTATATAAGAAATTTACTTTGGTAATTTTTAAAAAATAAGCTATATTAGCTGTAAAATTAAGGGACGAAAAAAAATTAACTACTTTTAACTACTTTTCAAATAGTTTTGAAAGCTATCAAAATGCTTGTTAATTTTGAGAACCATATGCATTTGGTAAAAACAAAATGACGTAGTGTATAAATTTGTTATGTCGCCAGTTTTTTTTATACATATTACTATATGACTGATGTGGTATTCCAAAAGGCTAAACGAACCAATATACTCTGCTAAAAAGTGTTCGATTCATGATCGAAAAAACACGTAATCTAAATGAAAATTTTTCGGTTTGGTAATAGATATATTTAAACATTTGCACAATTTTCGAACTAAGATACGCCAAAATAAGTATATGACTAATTTTTTGTCGCGCGCATATTAAAGAAAAAATTTTTTGCACGAGCAACATTGCTGGCAATGGCCGAGTCTGAGGATTCGGCCACCAACCAGGAAATCCGAAATGTTACGTAATGCTCATACTTTTTACAATCGGCTTTATAAAAACGCTACATAATAAACGCTATTGAAGTTATTTGTTTTCACAAAAAAAAACATGTGACTGCATATGATAGTTTTATACAGCATTTTGCTGTAATAATATAAAAGCTTTTGATATATGTAATATGCCAAAGCAATGTTACGTAATATGCCAAATTCTGTGACTGGCCCATGTGAACAATCTCCCTCCTCAACAGACCAAGTGAACAATCCCCCCCCCCCCCCAAAAAAAATTAGATGGCAAATTCAAGCAGTAAGGCCTGCATGTACTATGCTCAAATCTGATTCCTAATTTGATTTAGTGGGGAGATTGTTCACTTGTTCCCTGTGACTTCCTAACTGTATCTATAAAACATGGTTGTTAATTTTGATGTTACGCAATTACACTTTGGATATGTAAACTCATAAAGGGATCCAATAGGTCCATATGATCACTAAACTTTTCTTGACAGATCCAGGAGGTCAAAGCTTCTTCTTTACACAGTTGACTACAATCTCCCAAATAAAATGGCTATTTCCGTTTATTGATGTAAACAACTCGAGCTAACAGATGCAACTCTCTTATAAAGTTTTCTAAACTTTTATCAGAGCTATCAAGACTAGAGAAAAATGGCTCTGAGGACTCATGATCAATCGCAACCATTGAATATCCAGAGGGTTCATGTTTTTTCTAGAACGCGAGATGAGGAAATTTGTGGGTTGTTCAAACATGTTGTAACGGGATTCAAGAACGATTCGATGTCAAAATAAGTAACAATAGGCGCATACCAGAGAGCTTGAAAGTTTTTAAGTTTGAACTTGATGCAACCAGTTTTGGCTGTGGGCAATATCACTACAGCTGGTTCATGATCTTTACATAATCGCTCGTGCGTTTTACGATCAATTTCGGTGTTATTAATTTGAAAACATTTTCGGCACAACTGCAGGAAACTTCGGAATTTTCGCTTATGAAGTTCACAAATAAATCACAGCAGGTTTTTTTTCTCAAATTAAAGTGGTGCATTCAGGGTTCAAATAACAAAAGCAGATCCCTGATGAAGTTCTCTGAATTTTCAAACATTGAGACAATCATTGGAATGAGATCTCCTTTCTGATATTGAAACACGTTCACTTGAACGTTATTAAGTCAATCCAAATGAGAAATCATGTTCAAGCTCATAGGCATAATGAAATCGTCGGATGCTTGATGCGTTCCGGGCTTTGTATAGGTGTGTGGATCAGTCTCTTCTATTTTAGGGTCAACTAACCTCCCAACAAAAAAATCAAGCTTGTATCTAAGATGATAGGCGGCAGTGTAGCATAACAAAAAGCAATTGTGGTCGCTGTGATTACGAATATCAACCAATTTTGGGAATTTGCTATTTTAGCGGGGAGAGGTATAAACGAAGAGCCTGTGATTGGTACTATTTTTCCGAACTTATTGTAAAGCTCATTTAAACGCTGAAGAGCCCATCCGCTACCATATGTTGAAAAATTCTGGAACACAATTTCCATTTTTCCGAGCATTTCGAGAAAGAATTCATCAGACAAACCGTTTGCATACAGATGTGTTCATCATAGAATTTCAACGCGCTTGTCTTCGGGTTATTGTACGCTTTGGTCCAGAACAACAGTAGTACGCTTGATTAAAGTAAAGTTTGCCGAAAATTGTACTTTGCAGGGTCCATTACGAGTTCCATCTAGTATCAAACTTTGAATCTCATTTTTTTAAATTGTCATTCGATAAGATTATGTTCAGTATTTTGGTTGGGAATTATAAAAGTCATTAATGTAATTTTCATGGTTGATTCATGAACTTCAATTGAAAATGGAAAATTATCAATATTGCTCGCCTGTGTGGTTGAGCTAGAGGGGCCGCTGTGGGATGTATGTTTTTGATCCAAAACAGGTAGCCCGTGCTCTTATTGAATGTGATCCTTGAAATCTTTATATTCTCAAAAACCAAGCCGACAATACCGACCTAAATTGCTAAGTTTTTGATGATCTGACTCAAAATGCTGCTGCAGTGTTGATAGCAATAAACTGATAATTTTACAATGGTAGCAAGTGAAAACGGATAATTTTTTTTGAACAGCGTGGAAGTTTTGTTCATGACGAGATTTATTCGTTTTTAAGGTAAAAAGTTTGGGACATTAATCAAAACTGAAATTCATTTTGCTCTGGAACTGTTTTGAAGCGAAGCAGGAAAGGGAATGTATCCCAACAAAATATCAAAATGTTTAAATTACTGCAGCTAGTTTTGATTCCTTTACCCTTCTCGGTTTAGATTTGAAGTGCGTTTCCCGCTAAACTTTGAAATTGAACTCTTTTACCGCTAAAGGTTGAAATAGAATGAAATTTAAACCAAAATGTCGAGAAACCATAACAAAATTGTTTTTGTTTTACAATTGCAAATGTTTCAAAATCTTTTTTGAAGGAAACTTTTAACAAAAGAAGTTGATTACCTTTAGTTGCCAAAAGTTCAAATTTATAATTTTTATTTGAGCCAACAAAATTTGACTTGTTTAAAAAAATTTTCCCGCTCAAATTCGCATTGGATTTGCCGCTAAAAACACATAAAAGTTTTGCCGCTAAAAACACATAAAATCAATTTTCAATTTTTCAAAAAGTTTCAAAAGCGTTGCAATTATAAAACCGAAAACAGCAAAAACCAAATGTGTATTTTTTCATAGGATACCTTATGAACTTTGTGAAATCAGTTAAAAACTTTTCTGATAAATTTATGTGAAGCTCAATGTTAAAGAGGTTAAACTAATTACTTTTTTTCCACCAAAACTAAACCATTTCTTAGATTAACCCAAAAAATAACTCTTGAAAATGATAAGTTTTGGGCTTGAAATATTGATTTCCTCAAAACATTGCAATACAGGTGCTGATTTCTTGTTCAAAAAGCGTAGCTCATTGAGAGCAGAAAAATGAGTGGTCGGAAAACTTTAATTGGACCGTGCAACAAAATTGGTATAGGATGAGGCTTTTTCAAAAAGCAAATGTCTGTAACTCTTCAATGGATGGTCTTAACATAGTCGTGCAGCATATCAAAAAACTGCTCCCAACCATTTGAATACTTTTGTTCAGAAGTCTGAAAAATAAAGGACCTCAAGTTCACGAGATGAAATTTTTTAACTTTCTTCCGAGATTTGAAAATTTAAGTTGTTTTTGTATTTTTAATAAAGACTTTCGGTTACAAAATCATTTATTATGCTCTCGTTTTCCTAGCAACGTGATAAGTGAAATATTAGGAGGCAGAGATTTATAGTTTTTAAAGTGTTCATATATGAAAATACCAACTGAAAGCTGTTAAATCTCAATCTGAGTTTCAGGTTTAAATATTTATACAATAAAACCAAATGAAAATCAAACAAACGCAATCTCAGTTTCAAATTTAAAAAAGATTTAAATACTCCTGAGTTTTTTCTAGTGTTGTTAGCTTTCGCTTTTTCTTTGGTGCAAGACATAGAGAAGGAGTCAAGTTTACCATGTGATTACTCACTGTCGCTACAGGGGTGCGCCTTGGAGTTGAACAGCCTGGTTCATCAAGCCATGGTGACACTAGGAGAAGAATCAGCTTTGGGGGTAACTAAAAATGGTGACTCATCTGCTCCCTTCTCCGCAATTGGTCAAAAGTTTCAATTTCTTCAAAGCATTGTACCTAGTTTTCACACATCGGAGTAACGTCACAATCGTATTTAGACAGAAATTTTTTCTTCTGATTTTGATAAAGTTGAAATATCATTCTGAACAGCAAGAGGCTCGTCAGGATCCGTATTTTTTCCAGACTTTTTAGGGTAACTCAAATAAATCATATTGAGTTCTTCGTCTTCCTTTGTAGTCTTTAAGGAAAATTTACAGATCAAATGTAAAAAAAGTTTTGGGTACCATGATGCGATTTGTACAAGTCCACTCATCAGAATTGAATTTTTTTTCTTTTTTAATTTTTGCAACAAAATCACCGTGAACGGTTTAACAAAAAATGGTTTTTTCACAATTAGAACATCCGGCAGTAATATAGCAAGGCTTTTTGAGGAAAATTTAGAAGAAAATCACAAACGTAAAGCGGAACAAAAAAAATGAAATGAATTGTGAAAATTTTCTGAAGAGATAAAAAGAGGAATTGGTCTTCTAAAGTTAGAAACATTAGGACCTCATATGTAGTTTCTTATCAGTTAACTAAGGGAAGGCGTGTAAGTTATTTATGTGGCTTTGCACGGTATTCTATGTATATCTATTTTGCATTCAAACAAATAGCTTTTATAAAATACGACGTTTGAACATTGTGACCTTTGACGCCCATTGAAATTCTTATCAATTGCAGATGCCAAAAAAAAATCTAAATAAACCAAATTGCAATCGAAAACGTTTGCAATATAAAGTAGATGTGTGCTTATGTTGAAATAGGTGCAGCGCTTTCTTTTGTAAACCTATACAATCAATTCACACCATTATTTACTTTTCAATTTTAAAATTGAGAAATTAAAGTCGAGTTACAATGAATAAAACGAAAAAAACCACAGCAAATGCATATAGAGAATTTCGCGATTGCTATTTCGATATTTTGGAAAACAGTAAAAGATTAGTGCGTGCTACATGGAAAACATATGACCAAACTGATACTTATGTGTTCATGAAAGATTCCAAAAAAGCAACTGAGGACGTTGATTTTGAAGTATACAACGACTTTCCTTAACCAGCGAAGGATTTTCTAAGTTACTTAAATGGGGAAAAACAACCCGAGCGCAAAC